CCCCAAAACCCCAAAACCCCAAAACCCCTATTGAGAGATTTGAATGATATTAATTAGGGGTATAATTGAAAAGGATCATTAAAATAATATAATTAATGGGAAATTGTATTCAATAGAACAAAAAATAAAATGAGCCTCCAAAGAGACAGAGACGAAGATCTGGAAGTTTGAGAGAGAGGGTATTTAAAATTTTTATTTAAACTTTAGGTTTTTGAGCCTCTTTAGAAATAAGTGTCAATTAAAAGTCTTGAAGATTTAAACTTTAAGCAAAATGACCACATCTTAGAACAATATATGCTTAAATTTAAAGAAAATTATAAATTTACTGGAATAATCTTAGGTTAGAGTAAGATTTATAGGCTTAATATAATAAGGCTCCCATGGCGTTGTTTAATAATGCTATCATATCCTATCTGGAGAAAATAGGGCAGTGAAAATGATTAGCAAATAAAAAATGAACAAAGATGTAGAGATAAGATTACGTTATGAAATCGATATTTTAAAAAATTTAGATCATCCAAACATAATCAGAATTCTAGAGGTATATGAGGACTCAGCTAATATTTTTCTGGTAACAGAATTATTTGAGGGAAAAGAGCTTCACGATGAAAACATACTCATTGGTAAATTGAAGGAAGCAGATGCAGCTGATATAATTCGATAGGTGCTTTCCGCAATAGCGTATTGTCATTGATAAAATGTTTGTCATAGAGATATAAAAGCTGAAAATATACTCATAAGCCACCCAGATGAAAAAGTTAGAAATAAAATAAAAATCCTCGATTTTGGATCGGCATTATTTTTTTCAACTGAAGAGAAGATGCAATTGCCATAGAGTCCTTCAATATATACCGCTCCAGAAATTTTTCAAGAATTATATGATTAATGATGTGATTTGTGGAGTGTTGGAATTTTATTGCATATTCTTGTTAAAGGAAATCCTCCTTTTCTCGCAAAGGACGATGATGAATTGATTAATTAGATTGAAACTTAGGAAATTAAGTATGAAGGTAAAGTATTATAATTTAGAGCATTTAGGATATTTTTGGAGAAGAAAATCAAGAGAACTGACTGACTTTCTTAATAAACTACTTGAGAGGAATGCAGAAAAGAGAATAACAGCTGATTAGGCTTAAAATCATCCTTGGATCATTAATAATTTGAGGATCAATGAAGATGTTGAATTTGCTAGGGAGGCTCTTGAAAATATAAAATAATTTAAAGTAAGACTCATTTAATTTTACCAGATCTATAGCTAAATCAAAAGCTACAACAAGCAATTCTGACATTTATGGTCTGTTAATTAGCTTCTTCCGAGGAAAAAGATCGGCTTTATTATGCCTTTTAGCTGTTTGATAGAAATGGAGATGGAAAAATAAGTTTTGATGAGTTTTATGAAGTTTATAAGTAAGTCTATTCCTCAAAGGAAGAAGGTGAAGATTAAACTAAAGAAGCATTGAAGCTATTCAGGCTGGCTGATATCGATTAAGATGGAGCTATTAATTTTCAAGAATGGGAAGTTGTAACTATATATAAGCCTTATTTACTAACTTACCAAAAACTTAAATCAGCTTTTAGCTTGATTGATTATGTATTCTTAATAAGATAAAAATTTATAGGATAACAGTGGATAGATATCTGCTTAAGAAATAAAGTATGCTCTTGGCTTTGGCTTAAAAATAATTGATGACTAAATTTGGGATGAAATAGTGAAGGAATTCGACGAAGATGGGGATGGTTACATTTCATTTGACGAATTTAAGAAAATAATGCAATCGCTATTGCCTACTACATTAGAAACAAGAAGGACCTAAGATTTCGCTGATGAGGATTACAATAGTCTAATATTTAACTATATCAATGAGTTTGATTGAAAAACTTATAAATTATATTCAAGAGTGGTTACTTCAATCATTGGAATAATCAAGACATTTAGTTAACCTGATTTAAATATATTATATTACTAATAAATGCGATTATCATTAGTAAATGCTTGCTGGGGTTTTGGGGTTTTGGGG